GAGTTAAGTGTTGAACGCAGAGTGGAACAGCACACACAAGCCCGGCATCACCTTCAGGCTTGCTGAACCACACGGTATTCCGATGCTGGATGTTCAGCCATCTGCCAAACATATGCTTAGGACGAGGCCCTATAGACCCGGGAAACGCACATTACCGCTAGCACACGCTTGCCCGAGTCAGCCATTTTGCAAACGGCCTCCGTACAACAGGTCCTACACGCTCGCTAACATGCCGACCCCGACTCACACGTCCTTAAAGTGTGGCACGCGCTCAGACACGCACACTCCTCACGGGGCTGAGGGGAGTCGCTTTGTGCGAGCCAGAAAAGACAGTCATGCATATTCAATCCGAAGCTACTCTAAATTCTGATTAGCAGCCCCGGCGACGGCTGTCACCTCCCCGCGTGGCGTTGCTGTGCCGGCATTTTGACAGTGATTACATCTTTACATTAGAAAGCGCCAACATTAGGCCCCGCTTGTTTACAAATAAGCGCTGACTGACGCTGTGATAGAACGAGGGGCGGAGGGCGGGGGGGATGGGGGTCGGGGGTCTATTGCACACGGTTTACGATCTCTGCAATCGGTTATGAGTCTGTTTCTTTGGGATGAACAGAATGGAATCGCATGCATGGTCTGCTGGGTTTGCAGTCTTTTCACACGGCGGCGTCACACTTTTTGCAAGGGCAGGGCTCAGTGTCAAGCCCTACAAACCAGAGGGGGGCCCCATTACCCAAACCCCACAGCCCCAGGTTAACCTCACCATGACCTCTCAACCACAATCTACTACAGAGATACACCTCCAGTAGTGGGTTACGCTGACTGGAGCAAAGGTGACAGGAAGAGGGCGTGAGAGAGAGAAAGAACGAGAGACAGGAAAGAAGGGAGTGAGAAGGGATGAGAAATAGGATGAGGGCATGAGAGAACGAGAGATAGAAAGAGGGCATGAGAGAGAAGGAGAGAGGGAGAGGGCGTGAGAGAAGGAGAGACAGGAAGAGGGCATGAGAGAGAGAACGAGAGTCAGGAAGAGGGCATGAGCGAGAGAACGAGAGTCTGGAAGAGGTTATGAGAGAGAGAACGAGAGTCTGGAAGAGGTTATGAGAGAGAGAACGAGAGTCAGGAAGAGGGCGTGAGAGAGAGAACGAGAGACTGGAAGAGGGCGTGAGAGAGAACGAGAGTCAGGAAGAGGGCATGAGCGAGAGAACGAGAGTCTGGAAGAGGTTATGAGAGAAAGAACGAGAGTCAGGAAGAGGGCGAGAGAGAGAGAAAGAATGAGAGACAGGAGGAAGGGAGTGAGAAGGGATGAGAAATAGGGAGAGGGCATGAGAGAAAGAAGTACTGTAAGAGGGCATGAGAGAGAGAACGAGAGTCAGGAAGAGGGCATGAGCGAGAGAACGAGAGTCTGGAAGAGGTTATGAGAGAGAGAAAGAACGAGAGAAAGGAAGGGAGTGAGCGAGAGAACGAGAGTCAGGAAGAGGGCATGAGAAAAGAGAAAGAGAAAAGAATATTAGTGCGAGAGATAGAGAGAGATACAAAGTGAGAAAGGAAGAAGGTGCGGGAGAGAGCGACAGAAAGAGGGCATGACAGAGAAGGAGAGACAGGAAGAGGGTGAGAGTGAGAACAACAGGAAGACCTCATGAAAGAGAGAGAGGGAGACTGAAAAAAAAGAATTTCCAACACATGACAGGATCCTGTCAATCGCCATCCATCCACAACACTCTGGCGGAAGGGATGGGTCAAATGCCAGTCTGGCAGCACGCCACAACACATCACCCACTTACTGCTAGAACTGCTAGGAAACTAATTTCCTAACACTTTATTTTATTATAAAACATACCGTTTCAGGATGAAAGGTATGATAAAGGTTACTGCAGAAGGATAGCATCAGAGAGGGAGCCAGCCACCTCCACTGCGAGCTGTTGGGGCCAAACTCACGACCATGCTGCCCTGCATTCACGAGGCACCTATCACCAACCAGGAAAAGCGACTGGCTCCTTCATATATTTACAGAATATGTCTATTTGTGGAATCTATCCCAAACAGGAGATGACATTAACTCGAAAGAAACAAGCCACTCGAACAGAGGCAGCAGCCGGCTGAAAATAAATACAAAAATCTCTACACCAGTCAAAGCACATGGCAACAAAAAGATTAAATGATCTGTGAATGTGACTTTAAATGAACAGGGCTGAGTCGATGGCAGGCTGCCACCTGCTGGTGAAGCATGGAAGGGACACTCGTTTCTGAAAGCCTGAAAACAGGGTGTTCACCAGCAGCAGGGAACTCTGACATTTGGCTCCTCGTAAACCATGAAACGAGCCAAACCGTGCAGCAGGGAAATCGCCACCGTCTTCAGGAAAACGCAGCATTCCTTTCTTTTACGTTTTCTTTTTGCAGCCAAACAGAGGGCTGATGCACCAGGGAGAATCCAGTCTGAATATCTAGACTGGGACCGTAGCCGGCTTCCGAATCTCTGGGGCATCAAGCAAATGGCCTGTCAGAAAACTTCAGCGTTCGGATGGAAATATATTACGAAGATTTGCTAATAAAACATTTTCAATCTATATTCCTGGGAGGAAGCCCGCAACATTAAGCTAAATGTCACTAAAATGAAACAGATGGCGTGAAGTTATCACGGAGGGTGAGGGGGTTTGCCTGGCACTGCGAGCAGGACAGGGCAAGCACAAGAACAGCTGACGGTGAGATTTGCAGGGGACGTCGGAGTGACTTTGTGTGTACGGGTCATTGGGGCACTGAGGAGGGGGGGGTGGGGGGCAGGCAGATGTTGGCATTGCACGGGGGGGGGAGCGTCCGCATACATGTGCTTTGCAAGTCCCAGGGGGTCTTTTAACGCCCTCGTAATTTTATCCTGCTGGTCATTCAGCTTTGCCCATGGGGAACAGGGCGCCCCCTAATGGTGAGCCACACATCCAGCAGTTGCCATGACCTCCCCGCGCCACATGATCAGGTAGGCGAGGAGGAACCTGACACCTTAGTGACACAATGCAGGCGAAGCCACGCAAACGCATGGGTCTGAGAACAGAGGGCTCCCCCTGCTGGTGAATGCCAAACAGAGCCTGGATATCGGCGCAGGAAAGACGGCTGACAGCTGCTCTATTAAAAAAAGCGCCGGAACCTTCTGCAGTAGAAAAACTAGCTGCACTTTATCAAATGTTTCCATACACTTCTGAACATATTCACATTTTACATTAACGCCTGACTGAGCAAATTACACATAGCACGAGACATACAAGGCTTACAACAGATGCTTTTACTGTGATCAAATCTACTTACAGTAACAACATGCATTTCTTAGTGACAAAGCACATTATTCTGCACTTATTAAAAAAAACACAAAAATGAAGACAAAGGAGAAATGGTCAGAAGAAACCAAAAAGTCAACGAAAGCCAGCAGTGAAGCAGACAGAAGATTCGCTTACTTCTGCTCAAGCCAGAAGCCTCCCTATGTTTATGTTGTAGATCAGTGTTTCCTAGCCCAGTCCTCAGGGAGCCCTAGACTGTCAAGCAGGGAACTGAGAGGGAGCAAAAATGTGGACTGTCCGGCAGGGAGCAAAAATGAGGACTGTCAGGCTGGGAGCTGGAAGGGAGCAAAAATGAAGATTGTCAGACAGGGAGCTGGGAGGGAGCAAAAATGAGGACTGTCAGGCACGTAAAGCGGGAAAAACTACAAGCGCACTGACTGCTGCCTTGCAGAGAGATCGTGTAGGTCTTTGAGCGTCATAACAGAATGCGCGATGCTCAAGAAACAGATCTGCGTGACAGCATCAACTCCCCCTTCCCATTCTTGGTCTCTCGCTCCCCTGGGCTGCATGTTATGCAACACCGATGCCGACCCCGCAATGAACCCAGAACCCAGGGTCGTTGACACCAGGTGACGCTGACAGAGCACAAAAGTCGGCTTGATCAAGGTCGACGACAGGCCCGGTTTGTCCGCACCGACTTCGGACACAGTGAGGCGCTCTTCTCATCATCGAGGCCTCAACTGCAACATGTTGCTGCATAATCAACTACAGACACTCCTCTACTTAAGAACTTTCAACTTACGAACTTTCAGACATACAAACGAAGACGACTAAGTCCAAATTGTGTCCATTTGCTCCCGTTTCCTGTCCGCAACATAATTTTTTTTTTGCGCACCAATTCCACCTAGTACGACTTCTGCCCGCTACTCCCGCTGCGCAGCAGTGTAGCGTGCGTACTCCCAGCATCCTAGCTCTTTGTACGTGCGTATACCCTTAAAATGATGTTGAATAACGACTTACAAACAGCCGTTCGGAACCTAAGTCATTCATAAGTAGAGCCGCATCTGCACTCTATACTGCCCTCCAAAGGCAAAACACAGTAACTACACTGACACTGAAACTGAGAAAAAGGACTTTTTTGACTGTCCATCTCTATGTGTAGTTGGTTGGTAAATGGTAGCGATTTATTCAAAACTGAGCATAGTCAAACTAAGATATTTTGTCACAAGATAAAACGGCACCTAAGAGACCCAATTTCAGTCAAAATTCAAATCTGATAAAATATGTAACTATGGTGTTTTGCTTTTATGGGGCAGTACAGTGTCGGCTCGCTGGTTACCGTTTCCAGCAGCGATGCAGAATCTACTCAGAAGGAAATCGGTCTTTCTACATGCCCGGGATGCCCCAGCAAAGGTCTGCGCCTCCCTGGCTCTCAGCCTGCAGAAAGGGAGCCGTCAGTCACGCCTCACCATCTCCATAATGAAAGACAGCTGGTCCCCGCGTCGGAGGTGCCGTTTAAAAGCAGAACGTCAGGATGGCGCCGCCATTAACCCCACGTCACACTCACAGCGTCAGAGAACAGGCCTCGGGGCAGGAAATGAGGTGTGAACTCCACATCCGTCAGAGGGAAACAGTGGGGAGGCTGGCGTGCGCTGGTACACGTTCGGAGAACGGAATAAACGACGAGAGGGACATAAGACATCCGGCTTAGAATGCTAATCTTGATGGCACAGCACTTACCGTGACTTCTTCTTCAGTCAGGCTTCGATCATCCTGCAGGTTAACCACCCCAGCCTGGACTTCATCAACCGTCAGGCTGCCAAACAAACAAACAAACAAACAAACAAACAAACAAAGATCATTTACCCAATTTAAAAAAATAAAAAAATCAACCAGCATAAACAGAATTCTCTTCCATAAAGTATTTAAAATTCCATAGCTTTAAAGTTCATACCTCATTTGTCAACCATGCCTACTTCTGGACATTTATAAAGAAGCAAGTCGAGTTAATTATTCAACCAGAAGTCTTGCCATTTTAAAGATCTCAATAACATATCTGACAGTAGCCCCACAGGAGGGAAAAAAAAACATTTAAATAAGGTTATTGGTTATATAAATGAATATTCAGGGTGCGTAAGGGGCATATAAATGGCATTTCTTGTCATTTCCATATTCCGCCTTAGTGAGCGATTAAAACGCTCATACCCGGGCCCCTGTGTGTCAGAAACTGTGTCACGCCGTCATACATATTTCATCCGGGCGCATAAGCGGCTTTCAAACAAAGGGCTTCGGCAAACAAGGGGTCCCTTTGTTCTGAGAAGGTCGGCAGAATCCTAGATCCCCAAAAGCTAAAGCTGAATGACAGGGGAGGTGCCCCCGGAACGTAGGCCAGCACACCAGCACCGTGACCTCCGCCGAGGAGGAGCAAGGCAGCACCTCAGGGGAGGTGGGCTGGGGAAGGAGCGCACGGCCATTACCGTGACGAACACCAAAGCATCCACACTCGTTTCTTTGAAAATACATGTAAGTGTATAACAGATCTGGCATAAAGCTCATTAACAAGACAAACATAATTACTAACATTACCTATGACCTTCACCTATCATCCAAAGTGCAAAAAAAACAAAAAAAAAAAAACCCCAACACGAGAAATCTATCACAATAATGAGTCAAATATGCAAACAAAAGGAAATAAATCATTGGTTTGTTTTTTTTTTTTTTTCTTGCAATCACATTAAGATAATGAGTCTTTTGTACAGAATTAAATTGTGCTGTTGTGATTGGTTAATTGGGGTCATGAAATGTTGAGGTAATAAAAAATGTTTCTTTTTTCCCCCCCAGAGAAGATGGTTAGTTTAACAAAGCTGCTAGCTTCACATTTGTGAGAGAATCGGCTCCGCTAACAGTTGCCCCATGCCGTCCAATCACAGCGCGAGCCCGGGAAAAGGGAACCAATCGGATGTTAGCGTCGTTGTCCCCCGATCTCACTGGCATCCAGTTTGGCCTCGTTAGTGATTCGCACACACACAAGCATCATCTGGCTCTCTTTCTCCCTCCCGCTGCCCCCCCGCAATGCACCAAGTAAGCAGCTCTCCCGGATATTTTGGCTTGATAATGTGTTTGTTTTACGTTCAGGCTCAAGGCAGCTAGCGTCTGGGACAGGCCTGGCTTAGGGTAAATGCAACAGCATCACATCGCTCCTCCGTTAACGCGCCACTTTAGCGACGTGCTACTGATTCCTCTCAGGGAGAAGGCAGCTCATTCCCACTACTCCGTGAGCCCTGAGAGAACGAGGCCGGCTCCTCGAATGCAGGATCGGCCCACTCTACACAAACACAGAGGTTGAACTGCGTTCACACAGAGAAGTAGCATTTCTACCAGTCAGGAGATGGGAGACGCAACCGATGTGGCTGGAATGTGAGAAATATCATTTTCAAAGTAACGTATACCTGTGTTTTTAATTTACCTGCCGTCCTTATTGATGTCCAGCTGTCCGAATATCCTGGCTGCAGTCTTCCCCCCCGCACCTTGAAGGCATTTTAAAAGAGAGGTCAAATGGCACGTTTCACCAATTCCACACTGTTATCGCACAGCACCACATTATGGTCTATGACAAATATACGCACAATTTCAATCTGATGCCAGCGACGCATTTCAAAAAAGCTGTGAAAGGGCAACAAAACAAAAGTTATGGGAAAAAGTGTGTAATGCTAAAACAAAACATGTGGTTTAATATCTCAAAACTAATTAGGTTAATTGGCAACAGGTCAGTAAGATGAACCTCCCAGAGAGTGTCTCTGTGCAGTGAAGATGGAGAGAAGTTCACCACTCTGTGAAAGACTGCGTGGGCAAATAGTGCAACAATTTGAGAATAATGTTCCTCAACATAATATTGCAAAGAATTTGGGAATTTCATCATTGGTGGCACATAATATCATTAAAAGATTCAGAGGCAATTTGGAGAAATCCCTGTACACAAGGAACAATGCTGAAAACCAATACTGGATAGTCGTGATCTTCAGGTACTCAGGCGCCACTGCATTAAAAAGAGACACGATTCTCCAGTGAAAATCACTGCATGGGCTCAGGAACACTTCCGAAAACCGCTGTCTGTGAACACAGTTTGTGGCTGCATACAAAAAAGCAGGCAAAAAGTCTACTATGCAAAGAAGAAACCAGATCTAAACATGATCCAGAAATGCCACTGACTTCTTTGGGCCAGAGCTCATTTAAGACGGACTGGGGCAAAACGCAAAACTGCCCTGTGTTCTGATGAATCAAAATGCCAAATTCTTTTTGGAAATCATGGATGCCGTATCCTACAGACTAAAGAGGACAGAGACCATCCAACTAGTTATCAGGGGACAGGTCAAAAGCCAGCATCTGTGATGGTATGAGGGTGCCATGGTTTAGGTAGTTTGCACATCTGGGAAGACACCAATAATTCTGGTTACGGAGCAACATATATTTTACAGAGAAGGTCTTGCATATTTCAGCAGGACAATGCCAAACCACATTCTGCTCGTGTTACAACAGCATGGCTCCATAGTAGAAGAGTCTGGGTGCTAGACTGGCCTGCCTGCAGTCCAGACCTGTCACCCACTGAAAACATCACGAAACGAAAAATACGGCAAAGGAGACCCTGAATTACGGAGCGGTTTTAATCCTATATCAGGCAAGAATGGGACAACATTTCACTTTCAGAACTCCAGCAACTGGTCTCCTCAGTCCCCCAACTTTACGGAGTGTTGTTAAAAGAAGAGGTGATGCAACACAGTGGTAAACACGCCCCTGTCCCAACTTTCTGAAACGTGTTGCCGGTATAAAAATCAAACTGAGCAGATACGTCATAAAACAATAACATTTCTCAGTTTCAACATTTGATATGTATGGTTTGCAAATCATTGCATTCTGTTTTTATATACATTTTACACAGCTTCCCAACTTTTTTTGGAAATGGGGCTATATCATATGACTCAATCATATTTCAGGGTTTAGGCCAAAAAGACTAAAAAGATTTACATTTATATTGTTTGTGTTTCACAGTGGAGCGAAGGACAGAATACAGGTGGACCGTCACGGGGGCGGCGGGACGTGGCGGTGACTCAGAGACGCGGAGAGGGTGGAGGAGAGAGGAGTTTAGCTCATACGATAACGCGGCGGGATCAGAATGCAATCAGGCGGCTTTGTGCGGCTGTGCAGGGGCGCCACGGTGGCGCACTATTCATCAGGCGGCGGCACGTCGCGTCACCGTGAAAAGGTTGCACTATTAGCATTGAAAAATGACACTCGTCGGCAATCTCCGCGACTCTCGCAAATTCAGCCTCACTTTACATTTCGCCACAAAAAAGGGGAAAAAATGCTTTCACCCTATTTATTTATATATATACATACACACACACACATACACACATATATATAAAAAGAACACAGGCTTTGCCATGGTAACAGCAGTCTTCATTTACACAGGCTTTATCATCCAGCACATTTCACATCTAAAGGACGAAATGATTGCCCTGAAGAGGGGAAGAAGCATGTCGCACAATGCTAATTACACATCTTTGCTAATTACCTTTCCACACAAGAGTTAGCTTATTATGGAAATTTCCGGGAAGACGTATTTGCACATTAACCCTTTGCCAAGCACGCCGGCTTCCTTGACCGGCGCTCCGCAAACCTCGCTCTGGCGCCCCTCGCTTGCCTCGGCTTTAGTTTTTAAGCATATTTTCTTTATTATTCATAGCAGCTGGAGGAGGAAGCCCAGCGTTCCGGTTCCTGACTGGGTTTGTCACCGAGCGCGACGGCAGCGTGATGCGGGAGCCCCGAACCCACGCCACACCTGCTCCAGGCCTCTTATCCTCGCCCCCCCCCCCGGCAGCACTGCCTCAGAGGGAGATAAAGGCACAGTCTCGCTCACAAAAATCTCAGCTGCTGTCTGACGGCTTCAATCTCCCTCCTGAGCCCGGGGTCACTTTTGAAAAGAGGAAAAGAAAGAATGCATGCCTACTTTCAGCCGTGAGACCAGCATGATATGGAGCCTTTGACAAATTCACGAGGCTAAGTTCATTCGCCATCACCTGGACCAAGAAGCGGGAGATTCGTCGTGGGGGGTGGGGGTCTGAGTGGTCAGAGCGCGAGGCGGCGCAGGGGAGGTCGACATGACACCTGCTCCACTTTCACCCGGCCACTTACCATCACCCCCCCCGCACACCAAAGAGATCACATCTGCACGTTCTTCCTGCTTTCGGGAAAGTTTTTGCCGTTAAAAATAATTAACGGCGCGGCCCCTTTAAGAAGGGAGCTTTGGTGACACACACCGGTGTCACATTATGCCGCCGGTTACCAAAACGCCACCGGCCCACTGCACCACAGCTAGTTATCTCTGCCTGGGGCCCAGATCCAGACTCATCACGGTAAGCAGGCCCTCCCCCTCACCGACCACAAAGACCTGCTGATGAAAAAGCGAAACATCATCTCATTAGGCTTTTATCACCGTGGGCTCCCCCCCCCCCCTCACTGCTGCAGGATTTAAATGAAAAGGGAGTGAAAAATGAGGAGAAAGGAGACCGCTCTGAGTGCCATGATCAAGGGAGCGAGTTAAGTGATTAAGGCAGGCTAGTGGTAACTCTCCAAGTCTGGGCGACCTTTGCGTTTACCGCGCAGCTACAGTCAAAACCTTCCAGAAAAACAAGTATAGGACCGACGGATCATAGGTACGTAAACACAATACCCTGGGACTTTTACATTTTGGAAAATAGACCTCTTTATTTAAAATAAAAATTAAGTACATTTAAATTCACTTAGTCATTCAGGTGCGTCAACAGCCTCCAATCACGGACGACCTTGGAAGACGCAAAAGCCGAGTGTGTGTCATTGAGAGTGACTGTACAGCTGTGATCTGACACCATTTCCCACCTTGTTGCTGATGCTACCTAAAATAACAAGGTCACCAATACGTACATGTCCCACTGATAAATATTTCCGATGTAGACGAGTGTGAATTTCGGGTAATTGGTCGGCCCGGATCCACCGTCACCTGTGACACGATGCATAAATCTTCAAAGACAAAATTGACCAACAGGATTTAAAAATTTTTTTTGTGCTAATTGCCGACCTTGAGCAGCGCTCGCACCTCTATGCGGATCCCCAGAATCGTGCTTTGTTACATCACAAAGTGACAGCTTACTCACAGAACACCTGATCGCGGTAGGAGGCTGCAAAACAAACACGGCAGACAGGATCACAAAGGAATGAGACAAAAGAAGGGGGCGGGGGGGGTGCACATAAATGAGAAAGAACAGCAACGATAAATCAGACATCGTCAGGGAGGAGGGAAAAACATCTGCTGGCTCGCGGCATAGCGACACCTGCTGAACGGTGCCCGCAAGTGAAGATCCAGTCATCCGACAGCCAAAAGCTCCTTCAGATCTCGGCGTAGACGTCTACGAAGGCACGGGAGCTGACAGCCTCGGGGGGTTAATGAATAAAAGGGCTACATAACATCGGTCATCGATTAGTTATGACAGCCCATTAGAGAATATTTAGTAACAGCTTGATTGGAAGAGAGCTTATAAAAACCTACACCAAAGTGTTATAAATATTAATCTTCCTAATACATCTTTGGATCAAGTTGTGGAGTCAGGCTACAGTGCGACGTGCCGCTTCAATAGACGTCTACAGTACGACGTGCCGCTTCATTGGATGTCTACAGTGCGACATGCCGCTTCATTGGATGTCTACAGTGCGACGTGCCGCTTCATTGGATGTCTACAGTGCGACATGCCGCTTCATTGGACGGCTTGTTCTGAAAACTCTGAGGCATGGCTGCAGGTTGCCCTCCAGGTTGTCTGGAGGCTTGTTGTGGCTACTAGGTAGCTAGTTTCAGCTATCTTAGTGAAGCGATCATGTAGTCAAAGAGTAACCACATGTTCTAAGGGGGAACACACAGGCATCACTGAGGATCACGTGCCATCCTTCGACCCTGAAACCGAGGCTCCTACAGAACGGCACACGTGGAATCAGCATGTCGGACGTCACATGGAGTTCCCGCATCTCCAAATCGCCCGTAGTGTATGTGCCCTGTGATAGACTGGCATCCTGTCTATGGTGTTGAGTTATGCTACCTAGGATAGGTCCCTCACCACTGTGTGCAGGTTAAGTGCTCAGAAGATGGATGGTCGACCATGCTTGACACTGACAGAGATGCCTGTATTTTTAAAGAACGGCTGCTCCCCTAAAAGCACACCTTTGCTGAGGGAGGGGCCTGGACCTGATATTCATCAGTCCATGTCAATTGTCATCCTTGTAATCATGCAGTCTACCAAAACTATCTCCAGATTAACCACCATTAAAGAGCCGCTGTAAGGCACCTTCAGGGCAGTATGGGGTTCAGCAGGTCAGGCCTCTGTGCCCGTGATCAGATGGTCACCGGTTCAAATCCTTTGTGTGTGTGTGTGTGTGTGTGTGTGTGTGTGTGACTAAGGAATTCCAATGTAATAATAATAATAATAATTGATACTTTATTGATCCCCGTGGGGAAATTGTTTTTACGCCTCCCTCAACTTGCTCCTTGTAGAGCAAGCTGTCCGCGAAGCAAATAAACTTGTGCAAATAAAGCATCATTTTATTTGTCAGAGTAATTCTGAAGAAGCCTTGCATCCCTCCACACAGCTTCTCCCTAGTACAGCAGAACACGCTTCAGGGGCAGATTTAAAACAAACTGAAAAAGACAGACAGGCCATCATGGAGAGATGAAACCTATTGATCCAGAGCCCATCGCTCCAGGTTATGGATGAGCAAATCCGGAATCGGATCAAATTCAGCAACGGCTCCTTTTCTGCAGACGCTACCTTAGAACCCCCGACAAAACGAGGATGTGTGGCGACCGTCAGCGTCGCGGCGGACAGATGACCGGGCGATATGTGAGCTCGCAGTTCCTCAGATCTGTCAGGGCCCTAGTGCCCTTTGATTCTGCACTGACTTCCACTGAGGAACGACAGACAGCATGCTTTTCTGAACATGCTTTTGCCCAGCACACATTTATATTTACGATGACACGAGTGAGTCCGTCCAGCCAACTTCTAAGCAAGAACGCTGGGGGACAGTATTACACACAAGAACAGGACAAGCGGCCAAAAGCTTGCCGATTGGAATCCCGAGCCCATTTGGATGTGCAAGGTGCGGAAAGCAGACCTGCAGCTTGCGAGTGGCTTCAAAGGTGTGGCAAGCAAAATTAAAATTTAGCTAATTAAAACAGCCATTAAGCCACTCCTATCACTGCAAACACTGCCAGTTACATTTACAAACACTAATCCAGCAATTAGAATTAAATGATAATCCACCACTGACCTCAACAAATAAAGAGAAAATCAACACCCTCTGGTGTTCATGTAAGTGCTCCATTTATTTTTAACACCGTGAGGAATACTTCATCTTTGTATCATCGTTCCTTAAATTCCTTACAAGTAACAGGCTTAACCATTATCAGCACTGACGAGAGTCGACTCCAGATTAATCACCGAGCCGCATGATTCCTCTCTGGGTTGTCCCTCCGCATCCAGGTCCGACTCAGTACCCGGAGGCTGGCTGCCACAGCTCCTTCCAAACATTCTCTCACAAACGCCGCAGGACAATCACGCACGTCACACCATACTTCCGTCACAAAGACGCCCATGGAGGAACTGGGGACTTTATATTCCGCATCCCCCACCCATGGGACATGGCGTGACCTGTGACCCAGCCAGAGACCGGTTACGGTGGTCTTAGAAAGGGGAGGGATAAAATTCATGCTTCCGAAAGGAGAAAAATCATAACGACCAGGAAGACCGATAAGCTCCAACACATCTAATATTCAATCAAGGGAAAAGTTAGGCAGGGGGAAAATTAATATTCTTAAGACATTTGTCTGGTGCATTTTAATTATGAGAATCTCATTAGGATGCAAGAGGGCTGTTTTCGGCTTCAAACGGTACACAATGGCAATATAAACGTGCATACAAGATTCATAAAACAGCCGTGATTTATTCCATTCGCAGATTAATTGGGCTCATTTGATTTGAGTTTCGTATAAATCAATGCATAAGGTAATGCTTCTGCACGACCACCGTCTCAGCTTTTATCTGCGCTCTGACATCATGGAAAACACTGATACATATACAAAATACACCCAGCAGGGGTGCTGTTAGAATCCTGTGACAGTGTTCCCCAATCCGGTCCTCGGGGACCTGCAGACACTCCACGTTTTTGCTCCCTCCCAGCTCTATACTGGAGCAAAAATGTGGACTGTCCAGCAGGGAGCTGGGAGGGAGCAAAAACGTGGACTGTCCGGCAGGGAGCTCGGAGGGAGCAAAAATGAGGACTGTCAGGCAGGGAGCTGGGAGGGAGCAAAATCATGGACCCCAAGCACTGCAAAGGCTTTGGGAAACGCAGCCCTGAACTGTTGCGCTGCATGTAATTCTCAAACTGCAAGCATGGTTGTTAAAACAGAGCTCATCAAATCATTCAGGGATCATCTGGATTGATTCGGGGCTTTAACTGCCAATGCCCCAGGCTCATAATGCATCTGACATCCAATATACAAGTGGAAAAAGCTCAGCTGTGCTGCCATCAAACCCGACACCCCCGGCACCCAGCCGGAGTCACACACAGGCACTGAGGGCTGAGCCAATAACCGTGACGTACCCCCCCGAAATGCCTTTGATATGGATGCCAGAGCCAGGGCGGGCCCTCGAGCCACACGTCACCACCGCGTCCCAGAAGGAGCCCGGAGAAAGGTCACCTCGCACCGTGGCCGGTGATGAACGGCCCCTCCGTGGCGCTGGCAAAGTCGGGTGACCTTTCGCAATCAAAAGTTTTCCTGGGGGCAAGTCATGGCGCAACGGTGCATCAATCTCGGCATGTCAGGATGATGAGAGAGGCACCTGTTGGCCATTTTTCACAGAGAGCCACGTTATTGTGTAACAGGCAGGTGGTGAGGCGCCAAAGGTTAGGAAGAGGCCATATTAATGTATGTCGATTAGGAAGGCATAGACAAATTCACACAGTCATCATCTGCACACCAATTCTGCTCCTGTTACTCATCCACATCTTCCTCCATCTCGATTCACAGCAAAACCAATTAGGATAATTACATAAAATGAAACGAGCTTCATTCTCAGGACCCGACCACACGTACATGGTGTGCGTGTGAATGACTATCTGCTATGGCCTGGTTATTTTTCAAGGGAACCTTTTTGCCTGATCAATATGAAGGTGATTTTGAGAATAATAACAGCAGGTTTCAGTGCCAGCGCTTTCTAGCAATACAGCTGAGAAGGACATGGTTTTACATCAGGGTGTCGTCAGTCAGCTGGGGGACTGTGGATGCGTTTCATCCGGTAACCCCTGGCGGGTCAATTAAATTTTGGGGAGAACAACAACAACATCCACAAAGCAGATGGTTATACCGAATTTGGGGGGGGGGAGGGGTGGGTGGTGGTGGTCCTCTTACCATCCCCGGGTGATTTCAGGACCCCCATCACCTTGGCCTGATGGGCATCAGCTTCCAGCTTCCTCTTCCTGTGAGCCTCCAACTTGGTCTGAAGCCCAGAGAGAATCCTCTGAAGGTCCTTCAGCTGGTTCTGTGGGACGAACACGGAGTATTACTGAGACACGGGAGCGGCAGTCCGCGGCACATCATAAAAGGAGAAAAACAACAACAAAAAAAAAAGCAAACAAACCTTAAACCTTGAGGCTGAAATATACCTTATAAACCTGGCAGACAGGCTCTACGTTCGCGCAGCCAAAAAAAAATAATCGTTCCGGCAGCCTCCTCCAGATGCAAGTTACGGCAACATCACCTCGCGAGGATTTCGAACAAGGACAAACTCTTCTCGCAGCAAGATGAACTAACAGATGTTAAAAATATAAGATATTTAAACAGACGCGTGTGTACACACACGCACGCACTCACAATGTACTTGTGCGAGAACACTGGGACAGAAGACGGGCGAGCAAGAATACAATACCCAAATTGCCAAATATCTACAGGGCACAGATCATACACTATTTAAATTACCGAAGCTGTCGCTTGGCAGAGCCAACTTGACAAGGAAGCTCAGTCCAATCTATTCCCCTGAAATAGCTTAACACCCCTAATGAGAAAAATAATAAGTGTGTGCGCATTTGTGCCCCCCCTCCAGAACAATCTCAGTAACGTAATGATGGATACGGCAAAAGCTGTTTGGCCGAGGATGACTTCTTTTCTAGGACGAGTTCCTTGATGAACTCAGTTTATCCACTGTGCCTTTCGCAGTGAAAGTGATTAATTGAGCTCATTTTATGTTGGTCATGCAAGCTGGAAAACAGGAGAGAAAGAAAAAGAAAAAGAACGCCCATCAATCGTACGGATATCTCCCTCCTCTCTGTGGAGAGCGGCAGCAGTAGGACGCAACTGCAACGCGAGACTAAAATAATAAGCGCCAGCCTCGACCTTGCCTACGAGAACGATATTAACAGACGGGGGAGGTGGGACTCGGTATTCCCCTCCCATCGAGGTTCAGGTGTGGGGGTCACGGCTCGGGCTTGGAACCCAGCCCCAATCTGTCACTCAATCGCTACGGCAACTGAAAAGGCACGACTAAAAATATCAAGACCGGACCCGAGTGCCCCGCGCTCAGCGGTGCGGCGGACTGGCCAGAGCACTAACCGTGGTCATGTGACACGTGGTAGGCCGAAGCCTTTGGCTCCACGGAGCTTCTGGTGCGGCACATGGACAGGGATCGAGGGCCGCGGTCAGACACGGCAATGGAGGAAGCAGGCGTGGACACCCATAGCGGCCATAACGGGTCAGGTGATCGCGTGCCGTGTTAAGGAACGGTTATCAACGGGAAGTTGGCGAGAACAGTCAGCGACAGACAGCCCATGATAGGTCCACCCATTAAGCCTTTATAGGCCTTAGTTTCCCCATTGGTTAAAAGCATCCATTTCTGTCGGAAAACGACCGCCATCTTTCATCTCTATTTCTTTACACTAAAAGCCAGAAGTGACAGTAAACATGCAGTGAAGGTGTCCGTTGCAGTATTATGACACAGCTGTAATTAATCACCAGGTTAGATAGCCTGGTTAGCATGCGCTAGCCCAAGGGGCCACCAGGTTAGATAGCCTGGTTAGCATGCGCTAGCCCAAGGGGCCACCAGGTTAGACAGCCTGGTTAGCATGCGCTAGCCCAAGGGGCCACCAGGTTAGACAGCCTGGTTAGCATGCGTTAGCCCAAGGGGCACGTCTACCACATAACAGCTGCTTGGACTTGTGGCTCCTGGACTCTCCATCAAGGTCACACACCAATCAACCACTCCATCCCCCCTCCCTCGCCGAATCCACCCTCCCCCCCCAAATCTTCAGCACTCATGAGCTCCCATTTCACACGTGGATTGCAGCCACCACCCGCTACATCCATCCATCAAAAATGTTCTCTGGGAAGAGAACATACTGCATCGCACACACAAGCTTAAGGGGACGATTAAGGAGACGTTCTACAGCAGCCCCCCCTTTCCTAGTAGCTGAGAGAGCGAGAGAGAGAGAGAGAGAGAAATGGGTACACGGCCTACCTGCTTCTCCTGCCACATGCTAACGCCCTCCTTGATCAGCTGACGCTTCAGATGCATCCCATCATCCACGGCCCTCATCTCGGCCTCCAGCGCCGCTCGCTCCTGCTGACCTAGATTCCTGCCGGGGACCAGCTGCCATTAGCCACGCTGCACACTACACCACAGACCGAGCCTCCGTCTCTCCCACCCTCTCGCCCCACAGGAGGCCGTGTTCCGCTTATGGGCCAGCAGGCCAGGAGCTGGAACGCAAATTAATTATATAAAGGGTGTCAGGGGAGAGAGCTGAGGAGCACATTTCTCTCCGTTTGGGGGGGGGGATTAGTAGGGGTGGGAAAAATATCAATTTTATAATTAATCACAATCCCGGTTTTGACGATTTGATATCGATTCATAAAAATCCCATGATCGATCTATATAGTTAATTTATGCCTTTTCCATGTGACTTTGAAAACATTTTCACTGAATTTTACTTGTATCAGTCCTCTTATCATATAGGCCAGGGGTGTCAGACTCCAGTACTGGGGGGGGGGGCAGAGCCCTGTACATTTTTGGGTTTCCCCTCGTTTAACACACCTGATTCAACTCCTCGTGCTAATTACCACACAGTTTTTGAGCTGAATCATTTGTGGTGGAACAGGGAAAGGGCAAAGCTATACAGGACTGCGGCCCCCTAGGACGGGAGTCTGACACCCGTGGTCTAGGCGGTGCTACTTTCCATCTCACCTATAGGAGGGTTGCAACAGTACTACGCAATCACCTCGCGCCGCCATCTTGGTGCATTGTCAGTCACGGTAATGGAGTACTCCGAGCATGTGAATGCAAGCAAGAATAGTCAAGTAGGGCTTTATTCTCACACCAGTGATTTTCAAGTTTGCATGTATAATTTATTTATTTCTGAGAACTGCAGAGGGAAATCTGCGGACAAAATATGTTGGTGTATTCACGGGTAAGTACAATAACAAATTTCATAGTTATTATATATTGTTTTTCGTTCTCTTATTTTCATCATGTAATGGTAACAAACAATAACGCCTGCTTTGCAATGTGGATGCTACAGTGCTGTGCCTGTTGTTGTTACAATAGATCTCGTTTGATCGCATTAGAGAATGTGTCCTAAAAGTAGACTGAATACAGTCGAAATGGAACCCAATCAGGCACTTGTGAATCAAAATCAAACTGAATTGTGAAGTCAGGGCTGATTCCCAACCCTCAACAATATGTTCCTCAAATAAAAAGATCCTAATTTATGTCTTGGCACATATCTTTAAGTTAAGGTCCTTCTGAAACATGGCATATATGTTTTAGACTTGCCCATTATAATTCTCAGCTATTCCTTTCAGTCAGAAGTTATTTTTTTGCACTTTAAAACAGACAGGTTGGTTTAGTTTTTAAGACTTGAGCCTTTCTTTAGTGGTTTACGCAGTTTGTTTCCAGGGACTCCGCATTTGTAAAGCCCTGGTCATTAGGTGCGTTGATATGGTCCAAACATCACAGCACTGCCTGGGGGGGGGGAGGGGGTCAGTGTAAACGGAGATGTCCTTCACAATCAGCTGCTAATATCAGAGACGGTACATTATACAAAAAAAAACCCCCTATGGGCCATTCAAATCTGTCATAGTTTTAAAGAGAATTACGATCAGACCAGCGAAATTTCAGTTTTCTTGTTCATTCAATGTCATTAGTATTAGCAGCAACATGCAGCTGTCTCTCTAAAGCAGCTTCCTGGATCTCTAAGGGCCCCCCCTACGTGTGAGACAGGAGGGTCTTTGACCCCCCCAGTCCGCTTCCTGGGTCATGGACCAATATCCCGGGTCCCTGTGCCGATCTCGTGGCCCCCGACTCCCCGCCGGTCTCCTTAGCCTGGAGCCAGGCCTTTTTTTATCCCTGTCAGCTTCAGCTGAGGTTATTGAGTTTTCCCATTCAGGGGGGCCAACACCACCCCCCCCCCTTGAAGAAAATAAGTTTTAGTGTTATTAGCTGAAGTACAGCTCACTGGGGAAATATCTGTTACAGCTATATTTTCCAGCCATATGTCACTGGACCTCAATAAACATTTTGGGGCCCGAAAATGATGCCCTCCAGACCCCAGAAGTGGAAAGGGACTTTAATTGAGAGGAAGCGGGGTAGTTTAATCTTCTTTTTGTAAATAAATGTATTTTATGAGACTGACATCACAGACACCCAGCAGAATGTAAAGCACTGAATGGAATCACACACACACACACTCCTAATTCTATACTACACAGGTGTAAAGTCCTGACGCTAAAATTACCATATTTGTGTGACATCACATACCAGAACAGCTGTTACAGTAAATGTCTATTCATTACCCATCTAGCCTTCTGTGTCAATCACATTCCGGCAGTTGGTTTACAGTGATTGTTATTATACAGTTATTGGCAATATTACACAACTTTAATTTGCACATTTATACACATAATCTCTTAGGAAATACGAGGATAGACCATCCCCCATGCCATTAGAGAAAAATTTCAAAAAGAAAAATCATTTACACGCATTAAAAAATGAGCTGTTCTCCGCTTCAGAGATATTTTTAAAGCACCTTTCCAGTCCAGCGTGTGGAGAATAGCAGCTAGTGATGGTCCAGATATCAGCAGCCTTGGAAGCCTAAGCAACTGAGATCCATCGATCCATCACTGCCGCAATGTTTAAACAGTAACACACAAAAAGTGTGGGGGGGGGAAATGCCATTATAGCCAAATGTACATTTCTAGAAATCACACGACTGTATGCAATTCATTTCTACTGTATCCATGCCTTAGGCGTATTGACTGTAAGGAAAGGATTAACTCTGCCTCCGCGAGCAATCTCACAAAATTGCATCTTTACTGTAAATCGAAAATCCTGAGGACGCAGAGAGACATGGATCAGCCGGTGCGAGTGGATATCAAGCAGCCAGGAGCCACAGAGCGGGAGGGGGGGGGGGGGGGGGGGGGGCGGGGGGGGGGGGGGGGGGGGGGGGGGAGCTCGAGCCAGCTAGGGGGCTGCGGCGCATTCTGCTTTCCTGAAGTGAAAAGCCGCCCCCTAGTGGCCACACGAGATACACGCAACATCTGAATTTCAGAATTGACCGGAGGACGGAACACTACAAATCAGACAGGTCATGCGTGTGGCACTCCAGCCTTTGACTAATGTTCCAAACCCAAAGTGCTCATCATAGACATGCATCCTTTCACAAAAACACCACAATAATAATAATAAATTATTATTATAACAACAAATAAATAACTGCTGTTATCTAAATATTTAGATAATTTTTTGTATAATACTACAATATATTTTCAGTATATTCTATTCATATACTTTATTAAATTTGTCTGCACTCTGTCTACTGCCTTTGCACTTTTTCTGTTATGTTCAGGCACTGCATTTGCGTAAAGTCCAGCTGGCCTTCTAAACAACAAGCAGGATGAACGCGAAGACCTCTCCCCGCTGGAGGTAATATCACTGACTCCGTCAGCCCTGGACACCTCGGGACCCGGGGACACTGACCTGCAGGTGTTTGGGCAGCGTGTGCGCTTGTCGTGCTCGTCTGAGCCGTCACAGCAATCTGTGGGGGGGGGGGGGGGAGGAGGAGAGAGTCACACATGAACACAGCCACAACGCTACGTGATAGCTGCAGCAAGACCAGCAGCAGAAACAGTAAAGGCTGTAGAAGCACCTACACAGCAGCATAAATGGTAAATGGACCACATATATATAGCGCTTTTCTACTCCTACGAGCACTCAAAGCACTTTACAATTCATGCCTCACATTCACCCATCCACACACCGGTGGCGGAGGCCATGCAAGGCACCAACCTGCACACCGGGAGCAATTTGGGGTTCAGTGTCAAGGGCACTTTGATGGGGTCAGGAGGAACTGGGACTCGAACCTGCAACCCTCTAGTTGCTGAACGATAGCACTACCTCCTGCGCCACCAGCAGCGGCATAGGGTACTACAGAGTAAACCCACTCCTTGTTTAGGGACCACCTCAGTTAGCGACCATTCGCAAACGCAGTGCCGATAAGAAATTAATTGACTGACCAATGCCTGAAATACGCCAACACATGCCGGAGTCAGAGAGATCTTTGAAGTAAAATGTCCGAAACGTTGTTAAAAATGTCCACTTTATGAGAAACTAAAGAAATTGAGTAAAGAAGGTTTAAGTAAGACTTAAGTTGCGCGGTTGCGCCTAGACTACCATGATTTTCACTTAGTGACCATTTCGGTTAACGGTCTAGTTCTTGGAAGGGAATTTGGTCGCTAAACTAGGAGTCTGACTGAATGTAGCTCACATGGCATCAACCACTAACATCTGACACCAGAACATGCGAGGTCATGTGATCTCCAGGCGGGTACGAGACCACATGGTCATCGTGATATGTGGCACCAGTGCTGCCTGAATGCTGGGACATGCTGTAGTGACATTCAGGGTATATGGGCTCATTGGGGGCTGCCCCACCCCCCCAAGAATGGGAACACAGTATGGTCCTCACCCCCCCCTACAATTCTTAAATGACATGGAGATAGGAGCACACAGACAGACAGAGCAGCAGAGAGAGGGAAAGACGGAGAGTTAAGTGGCCCCATTTCTAGGGACACCCAGTTGGGGGGAGGGTCATGAAATAGCCAGCTCAGTCCCTGCTGCTTTGCTTGCTTCATTACTGGAGGGGGAGGGACAGTCGGGCCTGTGGGATCGATGTGAGGGCTCCTTCCACACCAGGATACCTTCCTTTGGTAGCAGGAGATTCTTTAAAGGGGAAAATGATCTAATTACAGGTTTCAGAGCAGCAGGCCGCTGCGGGGGACCTGTTGGGAGAGGAAAGCTCCCGTCGCAGATGAAGCACACCTTTTTTCTGGGCCCGCTCCCATGGAACAATCCAGAGTACACAAGAAGTTACTTCCCGCCAATCTTTGACAGTTTTCAGAAAGTGTTTCCACACACACACACACACACACACACACACACACATATGTAGGGTAAACATATCCTTTTGGGGACCGCTCATTCATTTCAGTGGGAAAACTACGACAACTACGCTAACTATGACAACCTTAACCCCTACCCTGCCCTAACCATAACCATAAGTAACCTAACAAAATTCAACAGTTTTTGCATTTTTAGTTTTTTCATAGCAGTCACCGATTTTTATAAAATAGAGTTTTCCCTTATGGGGACCAGGAAACCAGTCCCCATAAGGGAAAAA